TGAGGGAGAGGCGAGTCGGCTTGGAAATGCTTTTCGCGTCGACAATGGAAGCTCCTGGGTGCCGTAATATCACGCGAGTTCAAACACAAATTCTCTGCAAAAGAGATCATGGCCTCCAGATGCTTCCATTCTCTGGGGGGGGGAGTATTTGCTTCATTTGCATGTCTATGGGGCAAAGCATAGAATCGGAGTTGGTCAGGTGCAGGAACCAATGCCATCTGTGGCCCGGGTGTGCTGCTCACTCACGTGCGCCAGCCTTAGTTTGATGGCAGGAACAAAGCCTTCAACTGAGCGGGGAGGCATCGCAGGGCCAGGTCCCTTGTACCTGCATCCAAGCCAGCAGCAGTGGCAGCCACCTGAGCGGCCATGATCCCCCTCCCCAGCCAGCCAGCCACTCCGCCCGACCTAGTCCTTGCCTGGCCAGGGCTTGAGTTTCTCTGCTCCCTCTGAGTGAAAGGAAACGGAGGCGCAGAGCAGGATTGCTCTCAATAAGGCCAGCGCACGCAGAGCACCTGCATCTTGAGAGCAATCCTGCTCTGCGCCTTTGGTTTCTTCCTTCGGGATGGAGTTGAGAAACTCAAGCTACTGCCGCTCAAACACTTTTTATCCAAATGCAGACCTGAGAGAGATTGGAAGGTCCATGTGCCTGCAGTGGGGAACTTCAGAAACGGAAAGGAATGCTCCGTGTGACTGCTTGAAACTCTGTGTGACTCAGGTCTCCGTTTGGATGAAAGGTGTTTGAGCACCTATGGGGCTATTCAAAATGCAGAGATTCGCTGTGTTTTGAATAGTCCCACCAGAGCGCAAACACTGCATAATCCACAATGCCAAATCCTAACCCCCACCCCACCTCAGGGCATCCACAATGCCAAATCCTAATCCCCACCCCAGGGCACCACATTCCTTCACTGATTGAACTTTTTTTTTTACCAGTAGTCCCACAGGCTTCTTTTGTTGCCCTGCATGCGGTGGCGGAGAACGGAGCTGGAAAGGAGGTTAGTGAAGGGATGCTTTGGGGAAGCAAGGGAGACAGGCAGAGCCCTGATGCTGGCAGACTGAAGCAGCGTCGGCCAGAGTAGACCCTTCCCCATTTGGAAGCACTCTATAGGTGCTAAAATACTTTTTATCCAAACTGAAACCTGACAGAGACTGCAAGCTCCGTATGCCTGGAATGGGGCGCTTGGGAAACGGAGCCTTCTGCTCCATTTCTAAGCATGTACTGGCAGCCACGAAGAGCTTCCAGTCTCTGTCAGGTCTCCATTGGGATAAAAACTGTTTCCACGGAGCGTTTAAAAATGAAGCGAATGCTTGGTTTCCAAGCACCCCATAGGCGCTCAAACTCTTTTTACATGGACAGAGACCTGACAGAGACTGGAAGCTCCATGTGGCTGCCAGTGGGGCACTTGAGAAACAGAGCGTTTCACTCTGTTTCTAAGCGTGCATTTGCATGCAGACGGAGCCTTCCAGTTTCTCCAAGGTCTCCATCCTGGTGAAAATTGTTGTGGCAGTGGCGGAAAGGAGTTGGGGGCGGGAGCAAACACCACAAGAGTTCAGGCTCCCATTCTCTGCAAGAGGATCGGTGCCTGAACTCACGTGATATTACGGGCACTCAAGGGGTTCCATCAACTCTCCTCTCTCTCAAAGGCAGAAACTGTGGCAGAGAGGAGATGAATCTTTTCAAGGTAAGTCCGGCGCAGCAGGAAGGGAGGGGGAAGCATGAGGTATCTTAGTGGGTTGGGGAGTTCTTGGGGGTGTATTCCATCACCACGCCCCCCCATGGCATTCCCCACTCGAGATGCCTCATGTGCACTTAACGAGCCGCGTGCATTTTAATGAGCAAGGGAGTGATCTTGTACGAGATTCACTCCGAGTTTTTGAGTTACAAATGGAATGTGCAGGCTCCATTACACTCGTAACTCGAGGACTACCTATATAGCGAGTAGTATTTGAATATTTATCTCAATCATAAAGCAGTACTTTCATTTAGATAAATCATTAAGATGCAGATAAATAAGCTATTTAGATGAATTGCAAAAACATAGTGTCAAGGGATAGCATAAAGTATTGAAAGTCCAATCCTTTTCAGAATATTTGTTTTAACTGACTACCTAGTAAGGTTTCATAAAAAGAATATTATAGAGGAGAAATCTAGTATCTCACTGTAAAGATTAAAAAGCATGCAGTTATTTTCACGTGACCTTTAAAATGATATATGTAACTTTTGTTGCAGACTGAGGTGGTTTTTCATTTTTTTAGTATCAAATTACAGTTTGTCATCAAACTGGAGGGGCTCAAAGGGCATGCCTAATGATTTAATGGCACAGATTTTGCACTCCTAGTTTAGGAAATTACAGCTATTCCTTGTTTAGCAATTTCCTTGTTTAGTGACCATTCAACATTATGACAGTAATGAAAAAAGTATTTTGATGACCAATCCTTGATTGACAACTTTAGGAAGTCTATAAAGCAAAACAACATATGCACAATAGCAGTTTCACTTAACAACTACTTTGCTTAACAACCATGTTTCCAATCCTAATTGCTAAAGCAGGACTATCTGTACTAGAGACAAAATATTTCTGAGTGACACTTTCAGTATTCAGAAATGGAAGTTATTTTCCTACCCCTTCTTATAATTCCCATATCTCAAAAATCTGGCATCTTGAATTAAAACTCATTTGAACAGAATTCAATTAAAGGAACAAAATTCTTTATCAGCTCCAATCCTAGCCACAAACTATCATTAACAAGCAATGATCAAACCATAAAGCTAGAATTTAGAAAAATAAAAATCAACTTAAATGGCACAATTTGCTTCTACTAGAAGTCATTCTACTTCATTGTCAAAAGACATTTTAAAAAATCTACTTACTTCTGTGCTTCTTTCAACTATGCTTTAATCCCAATCCAATTAGTGCCTGCATTTTTTTAAAAAAACCAACATGTTAGAAAAAAGGTCAATAATAAAATTCCCAAATGAATAATCAAATACACTTTACTGGGATAAACACAATGGTACGTATGCAAGGTGCCTTGTGCAACACCCAAATCAGTCATCCTTTCCAGTCAGAAGTTGAATACCTTTTTCAACTGATTCATGGAGCAGAATATGGCGAATACTGTAGTCCATGGCTTTCTATTCCACCCAAACAACTATAGTGTATAAATACAGCTTCTTATGTTTAGAATGTTTAAAAAGTGGATGATTTTGCTAAAGCTCAAAACTTAACCACCTCCCTACAGTAATTCAAACGCTGATGCAATCTATCCATACAATCTAAAAATGCTTTTGCAGCTTGTGACTTCCTGCCAGCTTCTCCCTTGACTTTGCTTGTTGGAAGCCAGCTGTGAAGGTTGCAAATGGTGAGACATTGTGACCATTGTAAATGTATGTTGGTCTTGGGGCAACCAAATCACATGACCAGGAAGATGCTGTCACTGCCGCAATTTCAAGGACCAATCATAAATCTCCTTTTTCAGTGCTATTGTAACTTCAATTGCTAAATGAGCAGCCAATGAGTGAGGATTCTTGTAATGAAGACAAGCTTTGTATCACTTCAGTGATGACTGGCTGCTATGAAAGTGCTAAATAGAAATGCTGCCCTAGACTAAATATGGAAATGCTGCCCTAGACTCAAATCCACAGAAAACACCAAACTGTAGATACTTACACCTAAATTTGTTTGTGCATCTGATTTTACCTTTGATTCTTGATGTATATAGCTTCTTTAGTAATATAGGACCAGGAAAATAGTGAGAAGTAAAAAATTAGAGAGTTCATACTCCTCTTTTTATTTTCCCCTATTATAATTTAATTTTTAAATCAAAATACTGAAATTTAATGCGTTTTAAAAGAGTCTTGCAACAGCAATGAAAAATAATAAAACACCTATTGTGATGTGGTAGTTAAAAGTGTTAAACTTTGTAGATCCATTCAAGTCCATCTTTAACTATGCCAGTTCCCTGGATGACAGTCATTTTCTCACAAGTCAATAAATGGCAGAGGCTTGTTGTGAGTAGAAGATAAGGGAGCACAGAATTTATGGCTATTGCTTTAGCTTCTGAAAAAGAATGACAGATAGAAATCTAGTACTGTAACTAAAATATATATATATTTTTAAAGGTTTTACCTGCTTGACAGCATGTGATAGGATGAGGAAATAGTAGTTAGGAGCAATTTATTTACTGTTGGAATTAGTAAAAAAAAAATCCCAAACTGAGCACAACATTGCTTATGAGACTAATGAGTTAGCTTTAACCACTTTTAGGAGGCAGCTCATTAAGTCAGTGACAAACACTGAATATTATGCCACGAGGTTTGGTGTACCGTACTAAATTACCTCATTAGGGAAGGAAATATACAGTATTGCGGGTAGAAGGAATAAAAGAACTACCTATTATACACACGGTAGGAACTTACATCACAGGGAAGTAGCCTACATGCTTGAATTGCTAATTCTAAACAAGGAAAGTTGCGCGAAGCAGCTTTTTTGAAGTCATATCCAAAGCATGATAAAGGGCAAAAGCGGGCCAGAGCTCCAAATCCTAAGCAGAACTCCACGTGAAAGTCAATCCGACTGAGCGAGCCGATATTCCTTTCGAATGAACGAGCTCAGGCCAACCTCTTCCGGACAAACACTGCTCTTACCCTTCTAGTTCATCCACCGGGCGCGCTAACAAAGGAGGAAGCCCATGCATGAGCGGGAAAAGAAGCCTCCTGAGGCAGTGGGGTTGGCCTGAGCCGCGGTCGAGCGCCGAGGAGCCGTCACAGCACGCAGCTCAGGACAGGAAAGCAGAAATAAGCTTCCCATGAAGGCCAGGGTGCTCACCCTTCGCGCACGCTTAGGTTGGTCCGAAGCCCAGCCAAGTCACCCGCCGCAAATCAAAGTCTCGGCTGCACAGTGGTGTGACCCGAAGCTTCCGGCGCGCCGGTTACGCCACCGGAAAAGCGATAGGTGCACCCACTTTCCTTTTTCTCTGCCAAGTCCCGCCCCCAGTTGGAGGCCTAAGTACTACCAGGCAAGCGGGCGACGTCTTTGCTGGGCGCTGCAGTAGCAGCGGATAGCAGGAAAGTTAAACCTTGCCGGTGCATAGCTCCTTCCCCTCCGCGTGTAAATGAGGAGGGCGCTCTGCTTCTTCCAGCTGCGCTTTCCAACAGCGACCCCGCACGTCATTAGCAGAGCGTCGAGGGGAGGCTGCTAAGAGTCGGGCTGTTCTGGTGGAGGCAGCGGCGGAATATAGGAAGGGAGACCGATGGTCCTCTTCGGCCCCGACTGAGTGGCGTCCGTCGGGCACAGTTAGTGCCTCAGTTGTTTTTCATTCTTGTCAAAGCAACCCGAACACTGAGAAATAAGTGGTCGGGTTCCTTTAAGCTAACTCCTGGGTCAAAAAGCGCCTTCCAATTTTGTTAAGGACCTTGGGTTGCCTCTAGTTACTATTTAACGGTGATCTGTATTCCTTTTATTATTGATTACCAGAAATAAGGTATCTCAAAAGAATTGAGATTGATTCAAAGTCTGCAATTCTGTGCATTCATTTTTCGAGTTACTTTTCTCCCAAACTATAGTGGGGAGGCAGGTTGTCAGGTTCTTTGTCCTCTCTCTTTTTCCCTTTCAAAATAAAAAAATATTGGAACATTTAAAATCCTTTAGTAAGTAGTATTGAATTTGGGTATGTATGCTTTTGCTAACGGTATTATTTCCCAAATGAACTAGGAATGGAGGATGGCCTTCTGACAAGCAAAGTAAATGGAGAAGCCAGATTAACTGAACAACCATGTTACTAACTTAATAACTGTAGCTTAACTGTGGCAAGAAAGGTCATAAAATGGGGCAAAACTCACTTAACAAATGTCTCAAGAACAACATCTTGGGCTCAGTTGTGGTCATAAGTCGAGGATTACCTGTATCCACTTGGAAATATTCTTCAGCTTTCTCAATTATCTATTGTGCATCAGTAACCATATTTATTTCTTAGTGTCATCTAAATCCAGGTTGGACATCTGGCATCTCCCTTCCCATGTGGGATCTAATCTGCATTGGATGATCCTAAGCATTATTTGATAGCATGTGAAATTAAGAGTATTATTCAATAGTCTGCAGAGTCAATTGAGTCTCCTTTGTTTGGTATTGGCATGACTGATCTCTTCCATCCTGTTGGCTGCTGTTGTTTTCCAGTTATGCTGGTATATTTGGTTATATTGTAAAATTAATTAAATTAGAATTCTCATCTCAAGGTCTATGTGAATAGGATTATTATTTCCTTGCATAAATTGAAAGGAATGTAGAAAGTAGGGAGGAAATTTGTTCCCCAAAGATAAATATTAGAAAAAGTGTAACCATCTTTTTTCTGAGATGATAGTTGTTTTCATTGTTAAACACTATTATGTTCAGGACAAATAAGATTGTTGTGAAATTGACTGTATATTTTAAATAAGTTTGAGACTTCCTTTTCATATGACTTTTTCTTTTTTGTTTCTAGAAAAAAATGAGTGGAGGATTAGCACCAAGCAAAAGCACAGTTTATGTCTCTAATTTGCCCTTTTCATTGACAAACAATGACTTGTACAGAGTAAGTGTATCTTAAAATTAAACATTAGAATTGAATCTATCTGATTGTGTGAATAATCAGAATATTTATATTTACTTCTGTGTTTTGTGAAGAATTTACTTCCCTACAGTGAGGGAAAAATTATTTGATCCCCTGCTGATTTTGTACGTTTGCCCAATGACAAAGAAATCAGTCTATAATTTTAATGGTAGGTTTATTTTAACAGTGAGAGACAGAATAACAACAAAAATATCCCGAAAAACGCACTTCAAAAAAGTTATAAATTGATTTGCATTTTAATGAGTGAAATAAGCATTTGTAGCTCCCCTTGGGATTTTAAGTCCATAGGGTCCCCTTTCGGGAAATTGATTTCTGCCGTCCTCCAATTCATCCAGGGGTTCCATTTCTTTAACCATTCCATCCCTAGGATCATCGGGCATTCCATGCCTGGGGTCACTACAAACGTTATGTCTTCCTCATGTTTGCCCAGGGAGAGGTGTATTGGTAAAGTGGCTAGGGTAGCTGGCACCCCCCCTGCTATGGACCCATCTAACTGGCCAAATGAGATTGGTTGTTCCAGTCTCTTTGACGGAATGCCCAGATTCCCCACTAGCGTCGGGCTAATGAGGCAGCGGGTGCAGCCAGAGTCTATTAAGGCTTTCACCTTCACAGCTTCGGGCATGGGGGGAATTAATATAGTCACTGTCTTGAGGATGGGTGTGATGGGTCCACTTACCAGGGGTTCGCCCTCTGAGCTGTCGTCTGATGCGTCCACCGGCCCTGCGGTGTAGGCTGGAGTTCTTTCCCCACGATGGGCAGAGGTAGGGGATTCCACAGCCTCCATCACTCTCGTGGCAGGTTCTTTTGGCTTAGCTGGAGACTTCCCGGATCTGCTGGCCAGTGATCTGTCTGGGTTGTGCTGGGGGGCTTTTGAGCGGCATTCTACAGCCCGATGCCCCTCTCTCCCGCACTTGAAACACCCCATTTGCTTCTTGGCCGTAGCCGATGGTTTCACTGGTTTACGTGTCAACTCAGGCGGTGAGCGGCTCCATTGTTTTCCTCGGCGGTGCCTCTTCAGTAGGTCGATCTCTGCTTCCTCTGCCAGGACGTACCATTCATCAAGTTGGTATGGATCCCCTTGGGGCAGGCAAGCATCATATAGGTCGTAGTTTAGTCCATCTTTGAAATGGCTAAGGAGAATGTCTTCTGGCCAGTTCAGTTTGCTGGCAATGGCCCGGAATTCTTGCGTATTGTTGTGGCTCCGTCTTGTGAGCCCCTCTTATCGGAGGAAGAAGGCTCCGAACATGAAGGAGAGGAGATGGCCAGGCCTCCCTCTCCAGGACCCTCCTCTTTGGCAATGCCTCAGGTGTCTCCCGACGGAGAAAAGATTGACCAGGAGCCAGGTGGTTCTGAGATTGGCCAGGAGCCAGGTGTTTCTGAGATTGGCCAGGAGCCAGGTGTTTCGGATAGTGAGGAAGAGAAGTTGTGGCTGGATCCACGCCAGCGTAGGAGCGACAAGCATGCGCAGCAGAAAAGGAGACGTGCCAGAGATTAAGCTGAGTCACTGGACCACACCCCACAGGCTATAAAAGGGAGGTGGTGGCCATTTGGACTCTGTGACGGACAAAGCTGAATCTCTGGCGAAGTAGTTTGCTGTGGACTTAATTTGCTAACTGTGTGTATTGTTTTTTGTTCTCTGAGTAAAAGTCTTGGCAGGCAGCTACGGAGCTGCTGCCAAGTTTTTCTTATCTGTGGATTGGAGTGTGGAGAAGTTCTTTAACCCTCGGCTGGCTGTTTGGGTGTGTGTGTCCGATGGGGACAGAACACGTATATTCGGCTACCGGGCGTTTGCCTTGCCTCATCGTTTTTATCCTTTCGCGGGCTTTGTGATCAGCCAGGGGGTCCTCAAATCGCCTTCTCAGAGAGGACATGAAACGGTTGAAGTCGTTGAGCTCTGGGGCATTGGAGTCGTGCAAGTTTACCACCCAATCTGCGGCCGGCCCGTCCAGCGCAGATTGCACGATCCGGATACAGGTTTTGTTGCTGGGGATGTGCCGCCCGTATTCCTCCATGTAGCTGAGGACTTGGGTTAGGAAAAACCCCAAGCATGTCGGTTCCCCCTTGAATCTCACGTCCAGCGGCGGGAGTCTTTGAATGGATCGGTGCCTTCGTTGTCGGTGGTAGTGTCTTCCATCCAGGTTGTCATCTGCGGGTCGGCGGGGAGTGGGGACTACTGGATCAGCAGACGTTCCCGGGGCTGCAGGTTCCACTTCCCCCAGTTGCGGCTCCGGGAGCTGATGTGGCCGTAGGGCTCAGAATTCTCCTCTCCTAGGGAGCTGAGGGTTCTCTTCATCAGGTCAATAGGTTTCTCTAGGATCCAGCCCGAGTATGGTGCCCAGCTCTCGTCCTCTTCACTTGCATACAGGGATTTCCCCATCTCCTGCTTCCATTCTGGTTCGTTGGCCCCCCGTCTCAGGGTCACCTTTCTTTTTTTTTCTTTTTCCAAAATTTTATTTATAATACAATTAAAAAAAACATTGGATATAACGTGACATTCCAGTATATACATTCTTATCAAATTATTCCACATTTTACAGTCAGTTCTTCATCTTTGAATATACATCTAAGTTTTATATACAGTACTTGTTCTAAAATAACATATATTTCTATCTTAACACTAGTCTTTAATCCCAACCGTCCTCCTCGAATATCTCCAGCGGTACAATTTATCCTAGGTTTCGAAGTAAACTGATCCACATTTGTCTTTCAAAACCATTGTAAGCCTGTCCATTTCCGCACATGCTAATATTGTATATAGTGACTCTTCCTCTGTGGGGATTTCTTTGCTCTTCCATTTTTGCGCAAATGCAAGCCTAGCTACAGTCAAGATGTGTAACAGCAAATAGATTGTTCCCTTATTGTATTTATCTGTAGTTATTCCCAGCAAGAAGAGTTCCGGTTTTAACTCTAAGTCCAATATTAACATATCTCTCAACCAACTTCGTATCCTATTCCAATACTCACGGGCCTTTGGGCATTACCACCACATATGGTAATATGATCCTATTGCTGATTTACATTTCCAGCTTAAAGGTGAGATATTTGAACCCATTTTGGCTAACCTTACGGGTGGGAAATGCCATCTATAGAACATCTTGTAAAGATTCTCCTTGTACGAGGTAGCTAGAGTGAGTTTTCTATTTCTTTCCCACATTTCTTGCCAGATATGCAGGTCGATATTGAAACCAAAATCCCTACTCCAAATTAACATAGTCTCCTTGACCTGTTCTTCATACATTGCCTGGTTTAATAGAAAGTGATAAATGTTTTTAATCATTTTATCCTCGGGGCCTAATAAAATTTTATCTAGTTCTGTCGGTTCTATTTTTATACCCCACTCTTTTTTGTGTTTCCTATATCTTGCTTGTAGTTGGAGGTATGCCCACCATTCTAATTCTATCCCTGCATCTTGAAGATTTTTCCTCGATTTTAATTCTCCTCTCTCATCTAGTATGTTTTTATAAGTTATTACTTTCCCCAACTGAATGAACCTTGGGTGAATGTACATTTCTAGTGTTGAAATCCAGTTGGGAACTTGCCTATAATTCTGTTGCCGGATTTTGGTCCATACATCTATTAACGCCCGTCTGATGTAGTGCCTCCGAAAGTACTGGTGAACTTTATGTTTCTCGTCCCACAACATGGCATGCCATCCAGTCTGCATGTCATGACCTTCCAATTTTAATAATCTCTGATTTTCCAGTCGGATCCAATCCCGCACCCATAGTAAAATTGTAGATTGGTAGTATTTTTCCAGGTCGGGGAGGCCAACCCCCCCTTTCCTTGGCATCCTGCAATAATTTTAATTTAATCCTTGATTTTTTTCCTTGCCAGATGAATTTAAGTATGGATTGGTTGAAATTTCGAAATAATTCCTTTTCTAATCTAATTGGTATACATTGAAATAGAAATAATATTTTGGGTAGTACGTTCATTTTAATTATGGCAATTCTACCCATGAAAGAGAGCTGGAGATTTGTCCAGGTGTCCAAGTCAGTTTTAATTTGTTCCATTAATTTATCATAATTATCTCTTTTAATTGTTACACACCTAGCTGTTAAATGTATCCCTAAGTATCTTATTTTCTTTGTGGTCTGAATGCCTAATCTATCAGCTAATTCGTTTTTCTGTGTTCTAATCATATTCTTCACGAGCATTTTGGTTTTTTCCTTATTTATCTTTAGGCCTGCCATTTCACCATATTCACCCAGTACTTCCATTAGCCTTGTTCCTGATTGTAAGGGCTCTTTGAGTATGAAAACAAGATCGTCAGCAAAGGCTTGCAATTTGAAGACTTCTGTCTTAATCTCTAAACCTTTAATATACTCATCTTTCTGAATCATTCTATTTAGTACCTCCAGGGATAATATAAACAATAGTGGAGATAGCGGGCAACCTTGCCTAGTACCTTTTTGGATTTGAAAGCTTTTAGTAGTTTCTCCGTTGATTACCACTTTAGCTACCTGTTTGGAGTAAATCGCTTTGAACATGTTTATGAAATTCTCCCCAAAATCCATGTATTCCAATTGGTTAAGCATAAAATCCCATTTCATATTATCGAATGCCTTTTGTGCATCGAGAAAGATTAGTCCCATTTGTTTTTCATTGTGGACTTCATAATATTCCAGTACATCCAATATGATCCTAACATTGTTTCTTATATATCTTTTGGGTAGAAAACCATTTTGATCCGTATGTATAAATTTTACTAAGAATCTTTCAAGACGTTTAGCCATTATGGCCATGAAAATTTTATAGTCCGAATTTAATAATGAAATGGGCCTATAGTTTTTAATGAATGCCAAATCTGAATTGTCCTTGGGGATCAACGAGATAGTTGCTTCTTCCCATGAGATCGGAATTTTCGCATTCTTCAGAACCTTGTTGAATAAATCTATTAATATTGGACTTAGAGATTCTTGCATAATTTTGTATATTTCTGTTGGTAAACCATCCGGACCTGGGGCTTTATTGTTTTTTTGTTTTTTAATTGCCTCAGTTCTAAAGGTGTTATCTCTTTGTTTAATGTATTTTTAATCTCCTCTGGAACTTTTGGTAGATCAGCTAATTGCAAATATTTTAGAATATCATCCTTATTTTTCCGTTCTACATCTTTGTATAATTTCTTATAAAACTCATAGGCCACCATTTTTTTCCTTTCATTCTGGTATACCATCTCTCCTTTTTCATTGTATAGTTTGCTAATCCTCTTTTTATCGTTATGTTTCTTTATCCTGTAAGCCAACCATCTGCCTGGTTTATTGGCNTTTTCAATTTTTTTTTGTTTGGTACGTTTTATTTGTTGCCCCAGTTCTTCCTTTTCAATGATAGTTATCTTATGTTTAATTAAATCTATTTGCTGTTTCAGGTCACGCCTCTGTGGTTCGTTTTGTAGATTTTCCTCTACCCTGCTAAGTTCTTCTTCAAGATTTCTTTGTCGCTGTATTTTAGTTTTATTTTCCCTAGCCATATAGGCAATTGCGACACCTCTCATGTAGGCTTTGGCTGTGTCCCATAAATTTTGGGAATTTGTATCTTCCTTTTTATTCATATGAAAGAATACACCCATTTGATCTTCCAATTTCAATTTAAATTCTTTGTGGTTTAAAATTGCTCTTTTCAGAGTCCACCTCGTTGTTTTCTTTTGCCCTCTCCATTTGATTCTAATTGGATTGTGATCAGCCCACGAATTTGTATCAATTATGACATCTTCCACCTCCGAATTTAGGTCTGTTGACAACCACGCCATATCAATCCTGGACCATGAGAGATGTCGCCCCGAAAAATACGTGTACTGTTTTTTCCCTGTATTCCTCTCCCTCCAAATATCCTGAATGTTGAACTCCTCCGTCATTTCTAAGAAAGTACTAGGTAATGTTGGTCTAATTCCTTTTCTGGTCTTATCACTTTTATAATCCAATTGTCTATCCTTGATCGCATTGAAATCTCCCATTATACAAATGTTATCATAATCAAACTCACTAATAATGCTATGTAGTTTTTTATAAAATTGTTTCTGACTTTCATTGGGAGCATAGATTCCCACAAGAGCTATTTTTATTTTATTCAAAATTACTTCTATTATTAAGATTCTACCATCTTCATCATTATAAATATGTTTTGTTGGAATTTCCTCATTAATATATGCTACTACTCCTGCTTTTTTTTGTTGTGAGAGCGCTGCAAACATTTTTCCCAGCTTGGGGCAATTTAGTAAATGTTGATGTTGTTTTTTAATATGCACTTCTTGTAGGATTATTATATGCAAATTCATCTTGCCCAGTTTATTTAAAAAAATTTTCCTCTTTAATGGGGAGTTAAAACCATTCAGGGATATAATCTCAATTCCTTCTTTTGCCTCTTTATCTATATTTAGATCTTGTTACTATTGTCGGTCTAGACTCTTTAGCTTGTACTTCTCTTTCCACTAGCATCCTTGTCGATCTAACTTCTTTAACTGCTTTAAGTCTATCCTCGTCATATTTCCCATTGTCTTTTTCAGTCTCTATCTCATCACCTCTCCCAGTTCCCTTCTCTTTAATTTGTAATTCCTTTCCTTCTGTGGCCTGTGGCGGGATCTCATTTTCTTCTCTTACCTGTCTTTTCAACTAATTCCTCCTCACTTCCAATATTTTGTCTATAGAATTCTTCTGCTTTGTCTATTGTATCCAGCCAAAATATCTTTTCCTGCCACACGACCATAATCCCTTCCGGTACCAACCATCTAAAATTAATATTTTTCCTTATCAATTTAGAGGTTATTTGTTGGTAAGTTCTTCTCATATCTCTCACCCTTCTTGGTACTTGCTTAAGCACAATTAGCTGTCTGCCTTGATATTCCAATGGATCGTCTCTGGTCCTAAATAATATTTCGTCTCGGACAGATTTCTTAACAAATCTAATATGGACCTCTCTGGGGAGGTTGTGCCGTCTCGCATAGTTCGTGTGGATCCTATAAGTCTCATCGATCTCATTCGCCATTTCTTCTTTGGTAATCCCTAGGGCCCTTGCCAGAATGTCTGTCACCATTACTGGTAGATCCTCTCCTTTTGTCTCTCTAATATTTTGGATCCATAGGTAATAGGCAGCCTTCTCTACTTCCAGGGAAATAACTGTCAATTCTAATTCCCTGTTAGCCTGAACTAGTCTCTCATTCATTTCGTCTACTCTCAGTTCTTCTTTTCCCATTCTTTCTTCCATTTCCTGTAATTTTTGTTCGTTTTTCATGATCTGTTGTTGAAAGCACTCAAATTTCCCATCCATAGATCTCATCTTTTCCTTAAGTTCCCCTGTATCGTTTCTTACTTCCCCTATCTCTTTTTTTAAGTCTTCATGATTTTTACACATCACATCACAATGCCCATTGACCACCGAGGTTTGTGGTTACGTGTCTCCACCACCTCTTCTCCTGAGGAATCTGACCTCTCAGATCTCGACATCTGGCAGGGTTTCAGTCGGGGCAGCAGCTCCCTTTCCGGGGAGTTTTCTCCCTTCTCTGCTCCATTGTCTGACATGGTAATTTTTGCAAAGTCCCCCGGCAAGGTTCTCCCTTCCAGGTGGACTAATTTTGCAGATCCTGTCTAATGTAAGGACCCACCCCACTCTACATCTTAAGAAGACAGAACTCTTGGAATATCTCTTCCAACAGGCATCTTTATTTAGATAAGATGGTTGCAGGCGTTCTAGACAGGATCTGAAGGGCCAACCCCTACCAATCAATGTTTTAAGTGTTCCCAAGCAGCTCCCACCCCACCGTCCTTCCAGCGACAATCCCAGGCGTTACATTTCCACCCCCTTTTCCTCACTGCCGGCAGAAGGGAGACTTCAGATAGTAGTAGATGAAAGGTTATGGTCGTATTGTTATGGTCAGTCCTCTTGGTGAGATCCATATTCAGCCCCTTTGAAGTTTTAATGAAGGAAGTGAGAGCCATAAAACCCCTTTGCTCATCCCCCTTCCCCTTCGTAGTATGACAGAATCCAGAGAGGGCAGAAATGGGGTTTTACATAGTCGATAACTAGAAATGAAATATAATTGGATTCTAACAATTTGATTCCCTAACAATCAGCAAGATTTCTGGCTCCCAGGTGTCTTTTATACAGGTAACGAGCGGAGATTAGGAGCCTCTCTTAAAGGAAGTGCTCCTAATCTCCGCTTGTTACCTGTATAAAAGTCACCTGTCCACAGAAGAAATCAATCAGCTTACAAACTGTCCACCATGGCCAAGACCAAAGAGCTGTCCAAGGATGTCAGGGACAAGATTGTAGACCTACACAAGGCTGGAATGGGCTACAAGACTATCACCAAGCAACTTGATGAGAAGGGGACAACAGTTGGGATTATTCGCAAATGGAAGAAACAGAAAATAATTGTCAATCTCTCTCAGTCTGGGGCTCCATGCAAGATCTCACCTTGTGGAGTTTCAGTGACCATGAGAACAGTGAGGATTCAGCCCAGAACTACACGGAAGGATCTTGTCAATGATCTCAAGGCAGCTGGGACCATAGTCACCAAAAAAACAATTGGTAATACACTATGCTGTGAAAGACTGAAATCCTGCAGTGCCCGCAAGGTCTCCCTGCTCAAGAAAGCATATGTACAGGCCCGTCTGAAGTTTGCCAATGAACATCTGAATGATTCAGAGAACTGGGTGAAAGTGTTGTGGTCAGTTGAGACCAAAATCGAGCTCTTTGGCATCAACTCACCATATTTGGAGGAGGAGGAATGCTGCCTATGACCCCAAGAACACCATCCCCACCGTCAAACATGGAGGTGGAAATATTATGCTTTGGGGTTGTTTTTCTGCTAAGGAGACAGGACAACTTCACCGCATCAAAGGGACGATGGACGGGGCCATGTACCGTCAAATCTTGGGTGAGAACCTCCTTCCCTCAGCCAGGGCATTGAAAATGGATCGTGGATGGGTATTCCAGCATGGCAATGACCCAAAACACACGGCCAAGGCAACAAAGGAGTGGCTCAAGAAGAAGCACATTAAGGTCCTGGAGTGCCTAGCCAGTCTCCAGACCTTAATTTCATAGAAAATCTGAAGGTTCAAACTGCCAAACGTCAGCCTCAAAATCTTAATGACTTGGAGAGGATCTACAAAGAGGAGTGGGACAAAATCCCTCCTAAGATGTGTGCAAACCTGATGGCCAACTACAAGAAACCTCTGACTTCTGTGATTGCCAACAAGGGTTTTGCCACCAAGTACTAAGTCATGTTTTGCAAAGGGGTCAAATACTTATTTCACTCATTAAAACGCAAATCAATTTATAACTTTTTTGAAATGTGTTTTTCTGGATTTTTTGTTGTTATTCTGTCATACTGTTAAAATAAACCTACCATTAAAATTATAGACTGATCATTTCTTTGTCAGTGGGCAAACGTACAAAATCGGGATCAAATAATTTTTTCCCTCACTGTAAGTAACTGCATTTTTTTCTCTCTGTCTTTTCAGATTTTTTCAAAATATGGGAAAGTAGTTAAGTGAGTATAAATATCAAATTGTATGTAGCTTATTCTTTAATGTGGAGTGTAATAATACCAACATCCTCAATTTAACAAGATCTTTTCACATGTGTAATTTTTGTAGTAGGATACTAAGACAGGTGCTCATTTGTAATGTTACTGACACACCTGGTGTGAACTTGCCATGAAAATATTCTATTCATAGGTTGTGCTTTTCTATGGGGAAAAATCTTCAAAAGTACTTATTTTACCATTTCTATGTTATGGTATTTATATTACATTTAGTGTGTTATGTTGTAGAAACATAGTGCCATACTATAGCAAAAAGACAGCAAAGGCATATTTTTGGTGTGTGTGTGTGTGTATATATGTATGTATGTATGTATACAGGCAGATACAGGCCCAGTGATGGCGAACCTTTTAGAGACCAAGTGCCCAAACTGCAACCCAAAACCCACTTATTTATCGCAAAGTGCCAGGGCTGCATCAGCATTGTGGTGCCCTCAGGGGGGGCGGGGTGTGTGGCCCACTGGGTGGGCATAGCTGCAGTGGTCCCGGCAGATTGGGTGAGCGTGGCCGGGGCCAGTCCCTCGCCATCTCTGGGGCATCCCCAGGGGGCCAACACCGCTTGCCGCTCTCTTCCTGCCCTGTCACTTCCAAACACCATGTGCTCACTACTCTGGCGAACTCTGCTGGGGCAACAGCACGCGTGCCCACAGAGAGGGCTCTGAGTGCCGCCTCTGGCATGCGTGCCATAGGTTTGCCACCACTGTACTAGCCAATCAACCAGATATCTGGTAGTAGACAAAAGACCAGAGGGCAACAGTGATGATAGATGTAATGGTGCCAAGTGACATAAACATCAGAGGGGAAAAAAGAGTATGAGAAGCTGGAGAAATACCAGGGCCTGAAGGAGGATTAGAAATGATGTAGAAAGTAAAGGTCAAAGTGGCCCCAGTGATAGTAAGGAGCACTCAGGCCTATGACTGCTATGCCGGGAGAGTGGTTCCAACAGTTCCCAGGAACTATATCAGAGTCCTCTGTCCAGAAGTGTGCAGTGTTGGAACAACTAAGCTACTGCAAAGAACTCTCAAACTCCTAGTCCTCTGAGAGAGAATCTGAGATTGAGGAAGAAAATCATGCTTATTCATATTTTTTGGAATCTTATCATAAAAATGTTTTTTTTAACACCTACTCGGTTCTTTAGGTTAAATGTTGTACAGCATCATCTAGAATAACCTAGTAAATAAGCTGAAGTGTTATAAGTAATTACCTATCTATAACGCTTCAATTTGTTTTCCCGCATTTACTTCCAAAATGCTGCTAGATACTGTACCTCTATTTTCTAAAATCAAGGAATCGTCTACTTTGCATAGAAGCTGGAAGAGAGACAGAATTGTAACTCTTTTTCTCACTGATGACAATTCACCCAGATCACTGTATCTCTATAAATATTTATACTTTCCCAGAAACCTATAAAGTACTTTATCACAGCTGATACACATAAATAGAATCTGGCCCAGAATGATTTAAAAAATAGATTGGATTGTGTTCCAAAGAGCAAGTGACTCTCATCCTTTCAAGTATCTTGTTACTTCTTTAGAATGTACAAGCTGAAAGATATATGTAACAACAGGAATCAGATCTCTATATATTTGTTTCTCATCTTAAGTCAAAACAGAAAGAATATTACACTGTTTAATACAATGATCCATAAACATTCTGAACTTCTGTCACTAGTTAACCAGTTTAAGAAGTTCTTTATTGACCATCATTGCCACAGAATAAATCTTGAGATGAACTGTAAAATACAGGTGAAACTCAAAAAATTAGAATATTATGCAAAAGTTCATTTATTTCAGTAATGCAACTTAAAAGGTGAACCTAATATATGAGATAGACTCATTACATGCAAAGCAAGATAGTTCAAGCCGTGATGTGTCATAAGTAAGATGATTATGGCTTACAGCTCATGAAAACCCCAAATCCACAATCTCAGAAAATTAGAATATTCAATATTCTAGGCTCAAAGTGTCCCA